CCCCCACACACACACACACACAGAAGGAAAAAAAAATGGATTAGGTTACTTTTCAAATCAGGTTCACTCAATGCATAAAACATTCTTGCTTGGTCCTTCTCATACATTCAGTAACAGGCTCTATAACTAGGTTGGTAGAACTGATAAATATATTTTTGTAGCTTCAATCACCCGGCGTTTTGGCAATTGGGAGCAGCATGAAAGGGGAAAATTCGTACTCGCATCACTTGGATGCTGATGTAAGTGTTAACTTAATGAAAGACTTGTTTAAAAGGCCTACTATGTGGACAAGGCAAAAGAATATGTTCTCCTTGTACTCACAAAATAGTGTGAGTTTTCATCCTCCTTTTCTTCTCTGGTACAGGTTGGTGTTTCAGTTATAGATCGATTCACATTTTATACCCTTGCTTTTTTTGAGAGGGTGAACATGTATGCTAATGCCTCATTGGGCAGGTAATTACATCCACAACTGCTTTTCTTGATATCTATAGATTTTAAGCTGCTTTTCTTGAAATCTATGGATTGTATCAACTACTGACATCAGCTTAACTATACATTGCTAGTTTGTTTTTACATATTTTTACTGTATTTAAGGCTACACAAGTGCAATAGTCTGTATATACGTTTGTGATATATAGATCTTGGGCCTAAGTCAACCCAAAAGTTAGCTCATGAGGTGAGGATTGCCCAAGACCATATAAAGAGGCCACGAAATCCCCATCCCACCGATATGGGACTCAACCCCCCCACGCCCAGGCCTGCAAACTGAAGCGTGGATAATATAAATGGGGGTCCAACATAGGTAACAACAAATTGGGATGGGCCTAGCTCAAGTACCATGATAAATCGACCTTGGGCCTAACTCAACCTCGTAAGCTAGCTCATGAGGTGAGAATTGCGCAAGACTATATAAAGAGACCACGAAACCCTCATCCCTCCGGTGTGGGGCGCAACAATTTAAATTGGGTATAAAATATTCCTTAATGGAGATTAGGCTTGCATTATTATCAAAAGGAGAGTCATCCGCTAGCTGAATAAGGTAAGAGAGAAAGGAGATATCTTCTTTGAAGCTGCAATGGCCATCAGTTATGGGTTTTACTTGATAATAAAACTGCTGAAGTATATTCCTTTAATTGATAATTGGGGATAATTCAGAAATTTTGAAGGATAATTACTGGCTGTTCGAGGGTCTGACTGTGGCCTGGCCCACAAGGATTTTCTTTAATCAAATGGAAAGAGTCTTATTCAAGGATTTTAGATAACCATATCGAGTACGTTTAAGCAGGTTTGAACTTTTCTTATATTTAGAAATGCTGCTTGGGTTATTGAATTCTTTTAAGCAATGCTTGGAACTCTAGAAAGGGGACTGTTATAGAGGGTAAACCGTAAACGGGAGTGCGTACTTGGTAACTTGGGTGATAATTGCCTTGCCTGGGTTCGCATCTTAGATAACCTACCTGCTCAAGTTGTACATGTCATATGGACTCGAGCAGCAAAGTGGACCAAAAAAGTATGTTAGTTATGTGTAGTCCCACATTGGAATGGGAGTAATATGTACTTTGTAGACTATTGCTATAAATAGGACCTCTTGTATTATATTGAGTAACCAATATGAATAATATTTTTTCTCCCGTGCTTTCTCACAAGTAGATTCAGAATACTTGGTGTAGTTTGCAGAGGTTAACTGCACTGGGGGCTTGACTGCTGGTAGTTCCTGCTGTTACATTGACTATGCTCTCATGGATCCTAAAAATTATGTGTGCCTCTTCCTGTTGTGTTTTTTTCAATCTCCTTTTCCTGTCTTAATCAGAAGATGATATTTGTTTTGGACATAGAATTTCTTTAATTTGTTTAGAATTACTTTAATTTTTTTCCGGTTGCAGTCTTTTCAGTTCATATAATCCAAATATGCTGATGTCAACTGCATATTATCGAACAGATCTATACCCTCGTCAACTAGAAGAGGTATGGCTTTATGTTTGTTCCTGTACCATGCAACCCTGCCCTCCCCCAACCCCAACTCTCCCGAAGAAAAAGGAAATACATGGAAAGAAGAACTCCATGAAAACCAAAAAACACAAAAAAGAGAAAAGTAAAGGATCTTAGTGGAGATAGGTAGGATAAAATAAAAGGAAAAGTTGCAGTTCTTAGGTCCCACTTTATGTACAGTTGATCGGTTAAGAAGCTGAAGATCTTAATTTGACTTGCATGATAAATTAGTAGTAGTAGAAGAAATTATCAAAATAATTGTAAAAGAGCTAATTTAATTGGATCCCATCTTCATCTAAATACAGTGCACTTCATTTCTTGTAACTGCTTACCATGAGCACAAACTAGTGTCAATAACTTGCTTTAGTATGCAGAAGTGAAGTAAAAATGATAAAAGAAGTGCTAAAAGAGGTCCAAAATAGCACAAAATTTTATGAATGTTTTTTCCCTTTTTGTGTTCAAATTGAAACAACAGAATGAGACAGTCAAGTATCCGTTAAGCTGTCCTAAATTAGATGATTAACTGAAATGGTACTCTGAAAATGATTACCTAATTTGTTTTTGTCATCCAACAAACTAATTAGACTGCTGGTGTTATTATGTGAAAGTGAAATGGGCAATCTCTGACTTTGATAGGTACCAGTGACAAACTTTTTCGGTTCAGTCATGGAGACGATACACACTGATTCTGCTTATAAAGCATTCACTGGTAAAGATTCCACAAAGTCCACATTAAAGATGCCTCTTGGGAAATCCAGCCAAGACATACGACGAACACTAGCAAGTTCAGATGTTCAGTGTCCAACTAGTGACTCAAATGTTGAGGTTAGTGTTCATTGCCACACTCCTTCTAAGCTCTTCTGTTGAAAATTTATCGGGTTATTGCCAATCCCATTTAGAAGAAAACAAAGTTTGATGAGGAATGAATGCTACAGGATCCACAAGATTCTTGTCCTTCCACACATTTTTGGAATTCAGTGGATGAGAAAATGAGAAAGGTTAAGGGTCTAGATACCTGGGTGAACTCTGGCTTGTTGTTGATGTTTCTGTTGGTGGCATTTTCCTCTTGGCTCTCATTTTGAAGGTAAAAGAATCCGCCTTTCTGCTCCCTATTATTTTTCTAATAATTAATATAATTGGTAGCAAAAAGTGGACAAATTCTCCTATACGAGGTGTAAACTAGTTGTCATGATGTTTAGTTTTTTTTTCTCCGTGTTCAAAAACAAATATATCATTAGTATCTTGATTGTAGCGAAATTTTGGTATTTATAATGTTTGGAACTGTTTTCCAACTTGAAATGGAAAATTTATGATGTATCATGTTCCGAACATCTTCATTTGAGACTTTTTCATACTTCAAGCGAATTAATACTGTAGGCCACTCCCCTCCCGTAGGGTAACAGAGACTGAAGCTCAGTAATTGCTAGCTTCTCCTTGCCATTCTGTTTCTTATTCTTAATTTACTCAGCCCGCCCCCCTCCCACTCCCATATCGTGACTACCTCCTCTTCTTCATCTCTAATTTAAATTTCTTCCCTTTGATGTGTTTCTGAACACCAGTTGGGCCCCACTTCCTATCTCAATTACCTGTATCATGCATTTTTGGCCCATTCCTTCCCCTTCTTCTTCCTCCTTTTTTCCCTGTGCACCATATCCCCATCAACTCTGATGATATTGCAACATAACTGAAGATATGTCTACTTCCACTTGCTATGTTATATAATCAAGATCCGACTTTAATCTATATTGAATTGGGTAATTCTTCTAGCAGCCCTAACCCATATTCTCCTTCATCTTCCATGCAAATGTCCTTCTAATGGCTTTTCATGTGGTGTATCTAACCATTCCTTGTATGTCTTGCTTTGTCAAGTTTCATTTTGTTCACATTAGGAAATCTCTACCATATTTATATGGGCAAACCCAGACAACCTGTTGTTTTAAGTTGATAACTTTAAGTTTCTTGCTTCTTAGACTGGTAAATATCTTTCAAGTTTACATCATAAACTGGCCTTTCAGATCAATTCTACCTCTCTTTATAATGCCTTCTGCCCTTTAATCATGTAGTCCTGTTTCCTTTCATGTGAAACTTCAACTTCTATACCTATCCCACTATGAAACGTAAAATTATCCTATCAAACACCGTCATATAACTGTTAGTCTCTACAGTTGTGCTAGGGTAAACCGTTTCTCTACTGATTTAGGCTGATATCTGATTCTGCATTTGTCTTCTGCTGTTCTTCCACTCTGATGTAGTTTGTTACATTTTCTCTTTTGGTTTTTAACATTTGAGCCATTTTTCTCTGATCTCAGAAGTGGAGGCATATCGATTGATACCCCAAAGGAGCTCTATTGGTCCTGCGTTATTTGACTTCCAAGTTTGTTCAAAATGTTGGTTCAATGCAAGCTGTTCATCTCAGGAAAAGTGCACAAGCGGCCAATTGAGGCGCACCATTTTACTGCAAAATAGAGATTATTGTACCTTTGACAAGTAGAGCAATATAGAAATTATTAACCATTGGTAGATGTCATATAGCTGGTGCTATTACAGTTAATTTAAGCTTTATGGGGATCTCTTTGAATGATATTGTGCTTCAAGATATACTGTTTTGAATGAGCACTTTATTCAAGCTTTATCTGAAAGCTGCAATGGCTTAGAGGCTTTAAGTTTATTTCGATTTTACGGGCTAGCCAGTTTACAAATTGCAGGAACTTTACCCAACTTGAGGAAGGTTTAGTTGGATGATTGTCATTTTGAATTCCAGATGGTTGATATTACTCCATTGGAAACTTCAAGCAGTCAAAGGCTATTGAGTTTTAGGGTACAACAATGAAAAGGTGATAGCTATATCTAAAGGCATGAGAAAGACTTGTTTCCTCTTAAATTTAGCTGCTGTGTGGAGAATTATTCTTTTGTGGACGTTCTTGATAATTTGATTTGGATTTCTCCTCAACTGAACACTCTATCCTTTGTCCGGCATCTAATATAAATTCATTCATGCTATGGCTTGTGTTAAGCACGCTTCTTTGACACGAAATAAACTCTTTTTCCATGACAATCCCATTTTTAGTTACCCAATAATGCACTTATTCCAATATAAATTATTTATGTCTGACTAACATAGACTTGAATTAACGAAAACCTTTATTAGCTATACATAGATTTTTCTATTAAACAATTCAAAAATTATTTTAAAGTATGAAGAGATTAAATTAAAAATGCAAAATGTATATGTATATTTGATCTTGGGTATCAACTTTGGTGTCCGGCGGAACTCCTTCGAAATATTTACAGCTTCTTTGAATGGTTCTTACCTATTGTATTGTATACAATATTTGTTACAAAAATTTTATTGTACGGTATCTTTATAAATCCATTGTTACGCAACGTCCTCTCATCTTGCCCTGCTTTAATATTAAATATTCATATTTTATTTTTCACCTTACCTTTTTTATAATAATTCTACCTCGTACCTTACTTTTTCTTTATAATATTACAAATGATGACAAATAGTACAATCTATCCAATAATTATATACATCAAAACGATACAATACAATACAATACAATATTATAATATATTATGAAACGATACATGACAACCATCCAAACAAGCCGTTAGTTAAAAATAAGGGTTACTTTATAGCTATTCTTCATTTCTACCACAACCTTTGGTAATTTTTCGGAGATTATGAGGGTGTTTGGATTGGCTTATAAAAAATAGCTTTTAGCCATAAGTTGGTAATACCCAACTTTTTGGCTTTTGGCTTATTTTGAAATTTAAAAATAGCCAGATTTACAACTGGTCGTTCAAAAATAGCCCAATTTCAAAAGTAATCAAAATTTAGCCACTTTTTATGTAAAGATAAATCTGAGCGGAAATACTGTTCAAAACCCGGAAAATACTCCAGTATATTATGCTGGAGTTCCAGCATAAGTATACTTGAACTCCAGCATATTATACTGGAGTTCCAGGATAGTATGCTGGAACTCCAGCATAATATGATGGAGTTCCAGCATAAATACACTAGAACTCCAGCATAATATACTTGAGTTCCAGCAAGTATATTGATCCAGTATAATATACTGGAGTTTGGAGCACCAGTGCTCCAGTCTCCAGTATATTATACTGGAGCCAGCAAAGTATACCGGTCCAGCATAATATGCTGGAGTTCATACACAAGTGCACCGAACTCCAGTATATTATGCTGGACCGGTCTCTATTGCAGCAAAACGGTGGCTATTTTTCATTGACTTGGTAAACGCTGGCTATTTTTGATTGACCAGTCCGAAAACTGGCTATACCGTGCTATTTTTACCTTTTTATCATTGTCAAAAGTAAGTGCTTAAAAGCCAATAAGTACTTAAAATAAACCAATCCAAATTCCCTCTATGTTTCATTATATACTAGTCTAAGGATACGCGCGTTGTCATGAAATATATGTCAAGAAGAAACTTGATTCTTTATTCTATTTTGCTAACTCATTAAAAGAAGAAACTTTGTCCGACGGGATTTCTCAGTCATCTCAATCAATATATTTAACATAAAATTTATTTAAGATTCATAATTTTATTGCTTTAATTTTACAAGTTACACATCCCTTTTAGTTTTAACTAAATCATATAACTTTAAAGATCCAGAATTATTATATTTTTATTTTCAAAAAGCTTTATATTCTTATGTTAGTTCTAATTAAAAAGACATAAACAGGGTATCATCTAACTGACATAAGACGTTAATACTATCCTAAAAGGAGTAAAAATATGAAATTCACGTAAAAATTAGATTTAGAGTTTATTCTTTCAATCAATTCTCACGAATATAGTGTGTTAGTTTTCTTGTATTTATATAATCCGTTTTTATATTTTAATTGGGACGTTTTAAAAGTTAGTCTAATTTGATTCAAAAAGAAAATTATAATTATTTTTTAAAATATTTTCATGAGAAAATTGTTACCAAAATAATTTTCTTGTATATTTTTCTGTAATCTATATTTTATTTTGTCATGTTTATAAGCGTGCTCATAATTAAACGACCAAATTAAATAATAAAAAATGACATTCCTAATTTCTTCGTAGCAATGTATGTGCACGTAGTATAGAATATACTACTCCATTTAAATTTGGTTTCAGCCTCATTCAACTCTCTAAAAAAAAAAGTTGTGTAAGACTATAAATATTTAATTAGAATTAAAAGCTAAACTAATAATAACGTGGACCATCTTTGAACAATTGTGGTTATATTTTTTCGATCCATATAAGGTAACTTTTAGTGTCCTAAATATTTGGATTTTATACATAGTTTAAATAGGAAACTATTTAATAAGTCAAATTTTAGTTGGTTTCAAAATTTTAAATATTAAGAAAATAACTTAAATTACAATTCTATCAAATGTGAAATCTATTTTTAAAGGGTAAAAAAGGGAACGACATTTCGCTAAAGGCCTTCGTGCTTTTAATATAGTACTAGTTTTGGTGTACGTGCGTTGCACGTGTAACCCGCGTTTGTTTGTAACAAAATTATATATCACGTGAATGAACTATGTATAATAGTAATTGACGTCAAAATAAATTCAACATGAAACTGAAATGAGAACATGAGTGTCATTACACTGATGTAATAGATGAATTTAAATATGGTTAATATCTTCTGAACCTGCAAATATAAGCACTACAATTAGTTAAGGTCGTGATATGTATAACATTTGTAATTACAGATAATATATTATATGAGTTAATAACATGTTATGTTGTTGTATCTTACCTAATATCTCTTTGTAGACAATGTTCTTGGTGTATGTGCCCCTTCGTCTCTTCGGTTGCTCTGTCATGACCAAAACTTTTGTTGTTGACATCGATATACCTCTTGATAGTGCGACATATAGTTGTCCATGTGAAAAAATATGTTGTGGCAAGTACAATCCAACGTTGGGTATTGTTTGACCCTGTGCTTTGTTTATTGTCATTGAAAAACATAAACGTACTGGAAATTGTTTTCTGATGAATTTAAATGGGTATCCTTCATTTTCTGGCGGGAAAAGTTGAATTCTTGGAATAAACACATGCTTGAAAGCATTTTGCCCCATCATTATTTCTGCATGTATAATGTTGTTGGCAAAACCTCTGCATATCATTCTTGTACCATTGCATAATCCGTTTGAAGGATCCAAATTTCTTAGTAGCATGATTGGTGCATTTTTCTTCAAAACCAACCTGTATTACCATTATACATTAATCATTTATATTTATATATATATATATATATATATATATATATATATATATGTGTGTGTGTGTGTGCGCGCGCGCGCGCGTGTGTGTGNGACGAGAATGTCGGGATATCATGGTTGTGAATTGCAGCTTCAGTTGTAGTTGTGGCTTTGTTCGGTTGAAGCTGTTTTCGTATTCCTTGGTGCCAACCTACTTCGCCATTTGGAAAAAACAAAGGATATTGAAGTGGGTCATAACAACCGTAGTAATGTTTGACTCTATGTCTGTTCCCGGATATTCATGAACAATAATCTCTCTATCAAATGGTACATTTGGATTATTTCCATCTATCCAAATTGCAGCAACTTGATCTACAGATGGTTTGTTGTAGACACGCTGATCTTGTGTAGCATTGGCAGCAATTCGAATATGTAAATCTTGAAAGGTTGGATGATCTCTTAGCTGGCGAAAGAATTGCGCATAAGGATTTTCATCCATTATTTGGCTAATTTTTCCTACAATTTCCTCTGATAAGTTTGCTTCTTGGAGTTTTGAAATCCTATTAGACAACTCATTGTCTGTGTCAAAAAAGTATAACTGGAAATAACAAGGATTATTATTCTGCGGGAGTAAAGATGGAAGATTGTGATATATTTGACCTTGTGCCATAAATGTGTAAACTCCTTTCCTTGAAGATGCCAGTTCTTTGTCGAGCGTAACACCGAAAGATGTAAACGCAAATATGCTATTATATGCTCTAATGTTTCTGCGGAACTCTTTCGCTTGTTCTGACTCGGCAATAAGTAACTCGTATAATGGAATTGGAACTTCAGTATTTGCCAATTTGATAGATCCACTTCCGCAACAAAATGTGGGAGTCTCATACTGAAATCTTGTAGCATGACAATGAATACATTCAGCAACACTTTTCAGCTTGTGAATATCTGATATCGATGGTTTGTATGCAATATCACCTAAATTTATGTAGCCAGATGTGTTATAGATAATAAAATGTGATATCTTGTCATACTAATAAGATGTAATCAATTTTGAAGAAATTTATTTCAACACGTACCTTCAATAACACACTGTTTCGATAGAGCCTTCAGTAGCCAAGTTATTTTAGGCTGCTTTCTCGGTTTTCTTTCTTCAATGTCAATATCTTCAATTGATTGAGTTGAGACTTCTGAACAAATAACGCATAAGTATCAGTTTAAATGAAGCATAGTTCTCCATCACGATCAGAAGGATCGTCATTGATCACTTTGGAGCTGCCTGCAGCAGAGCCCTTCTTAAACTTCTCATTTAAGTTCAGCAGGCTTCGATTTACTTATAGTTCGCCAAAGAAGTTTTTGTGACTCTACTTTGGTACAATTTTGAAACAGACTAACAATCTAATATTCATGAAAGTTACAAAGTTGTGGCGAATTCAA